GATTGTCGTTCCCATGACCTTGATAATAACCACATTCTTCCACGCCAGAAGCAAAGTGTTGACGAGCGTTTTCGGTCAACGGTTAAAAATAAAGAATGTTGAGAACCACTGAAAAAAGGGGGAGAACGGTTCGGTTTAATTACGATTTTATTAGGCGATCACGAGGTCGGCCTCTCGTACGAGGTCGGCACTTGCGATATACTTGCAATTCTTACAACGAGTTTCTTACAACTTTTAGAGAGAGAAAGTAGAGAGAAGGTAGAGTTAATTCAATTTCAACAACCCAAAATAAATGAAATGAGCTGCTATTTATAGTTGTCTTTAATGAGGCACTGTTCAGCTACTGTTCACTGGTCTTGTCGCACAGTAATTTGGCAGAGCAGTTCGGCGTCTGTCTGACGGGCATTTAATGCGATTTGAGGTTTCTTCAATCATTGCCTGCCGAGCATTAAATGCCAGCATGGGGTGCATTTAATGTTGTATGGCCTTGTTGACTCATGCTGGCTGGTAGGGGTCTAGGCCATGATTACCTACCCATCGTCCAATGATGACCTCCCAAGTGGGAATATTTTAATGCTCATTGAAGCCCATGCGCCGTCCCTGGTCGGCCTCCTCGTACTTTCAGGTCGGCACTTCGTTCATAGTTGCTCTTTAGACTACGAATAGTCTTCTTCATGTCCGGCACCCATCCAGGTCGGCAGCTCCCCGGTCTGAGATGGGCGCCGGGCTGAGAATCTGTTCCCAGGACGGTTTCCCGCCCATCTAATCCATGATCCAGCTCGGCACTTTCTCATCAGACCGGGTTTTTGGCTCGAGTCGGTTGGCAACGTCTCCCCGGCTCATTCCTGGCTAACTCGGATATCAACATGCCTGAAACAGTACAACAAATGTATTAGAAGAACCAAGGAGAAATGTCCAGTAAAGTAACAAAAGCACAGAATTACTACTGACTGACTTTTTCTTTTTCTTTTTGAGACCAGCAAAAGATGTTTCACCAGTTTCAGAAACTGTACAAGATGTAACACAACGTAAGACTAAATTTGCACAACAATCAAATAATCCAATAATATCTTGGTTTTTAAAATTGGAAAGATTAGATATATACTCGATAAGCTCTCAGCTTTCTCTACTAGAGAGTCAACAGGCCCTTCTTCACCTAGGTCTTGAGGCACTGGTTTCTTCTTTTTCTTCTTTTGTGGGGTCAAAAGGAGCTATCTGCAATACAATCGTAAAACATTTTGAACCAACACACTCTACTACCATCTTTGGTTTAAAAAAAAATTACTAAAACACAATGCACCTACTCTTGATTAGGTATAAAAGCTAGAGTTAAAAGATGAGTTAATCCCTTTCAGTAATACACATTAAAGGCAACATATATTTGCAAAGAAACAAAGCTCCTGCCATTTTTACTATTAATGAAAGAATTAGTACAATCATAACTTCAACATGCATTACATGAAACAATTGTAAACTCATCACTTTTAAATTCTCATATTTTATAACTTAGCAAAAGATCATTTATAGCTCCTAAAGAACCAAACCAACTTTTATCTCTTCTTCAAAACATCATCAGAATCAACAAATTTTTAAGAACTTTACTTAATTTTTTATGCTCTGAGCTAATTAGAATTCATCCCTATTCTCTCAGCATAAAAATAAAACAATTTATTTTGTACTAGCAAATATAAATAACTGGATAAAAACTCTGACTATACCAAAACTTATAAATCCAAACATAGCAACAGAACAAAAAATTACAGCCATACTACTTCTACAAAGAAAGAGAAAATGAAAGAAACAAATAGATAAATATATGCAAAGAAAAATACAATTACCCACAACACAAAACAGACAACTTCTTTTATTTT